TCTGTCTGTCTGTCTCTCTCTCTCTTCTCTCTCTCTCTCTCTCTCTCTCTCTCTCTCTCTCTCTCTCTCTCTCTCTCTCTCTCTCTCTCTCTCCACATAATCAGTAGAGAAACTCCAGGGAAATTCCCCGCCTGACATAAACACAGCAGATGTAGTTAATACTGGGCCATGTATGCAAGCTACTTGGCCGTGTTAATACTGGGATATAAATTCCCCTCTCGCCACTCCGTGACAGCGAGACACTAACTACCCTGAGTGAGACAGTTACTCTTGAAACACCTTGAGTGAACAACGTCTACGAGTGAGTTTACATAATTAGAAGTCACCACTTCAACAAATTGTATAAGGCATTTGTGAGTTGCGGGAGGGGGGGGGGGTTGAAGGGGATTTTTTTGTAGATTGCAAAGCCATTGCAAAGCCACCTAGGGGATCAACTCGTCTTGCGAGGGATGTGGTAAGTGTTGCAAAGATGGTTAGTTGCAGCAATATGACTTACTTCAGCTGAGTAGGTAAACGGTTTCTCCCGTCAAACACACACACGACCAAACTACAACATTGCTACAACTTTCAGTCAAGTTTCTCAACGTCTAACAAGTGTTGTAACAACCAATATAACACGTTGTGACAACGTTCTAGTCCGCCATAACAAGATGTAACAACTTAATCCCAAGTTGTAACAACCGGAAACTAGTGAGAGTTACCTTGAGGTGATTTCGGGGCTCAGCGACACCGCGGCCCGGTCGTCGACCATGCCGTTATGTGTTTCTAGGGATTTCCCTCCTTATGTTTTAGCTGTTAAACTCTGCCTCGCCCTACCAAATCTTATCTAATCTAACTACTAATCTAACTAATCTAATCTAACTAACTTACCTAACTACATCTAGCCTAGCCTAAATATACTAAACTTAACTTTAGTTAACTCTAATAACTCCTAAATCAGTATTATGTTAATAAAGAAATAGAACAGTTTAGGCTGACAACTGAGAAAGATGATCTCCACGACACCACGCTAGCTTTCATTGTCCTAGCAGGTAGATCCCACTCACAGACGACACCTAGCCAGGAGGCCCTACTAACAGACGAAACCTAGCCAGGAGGCCCTACTAACAGACGAAACCTAGCAAGCAGGATGTCCCAGCCAGGAGCCCCCAAACAAGAGATGACACCTAGCAAGCAAGGGGCCCAAGCCAGGAGCCCCCAAACAAGAGACAACACCTAGCAAGCAAGGGGCCCTAGCCAGAAGCCCCCAAACAAGAGACACATAGCAAATTGCAGCTAGGAGGTTACAGCTAGGAGGTTACAGCTAGGAGGTTACAGCTAGGAGGTTGCAGCTAGGAGGAGGTGGTGGAACGACGTCCACGACACCTCACCAAGCACCACAGCGCCTCCTGGGAGCCCTCAGCCTCCTCCTTGGCACTCCCATGCTAATTACACCCAACCACACATCTAAGCGTTTATAAATTGAACGTCACATTGGTGAGATGCGAACCAGCGACCCTGTGTTTGTGTGGGTGATTATGCGTGCCAACTGAGCCTTCCCCTGGCTCCTGCTGTTGC